CTCAATGCAGAGTGCGGGCTTCGAACCCAACAGCTGCACGCAGTCACCATCTCCTTCCCACGGCCGCCAGGGCAAACGCATGCGTGTTTATTACACTGGTTGAGTCAGGGCTTTCCGAAACATTGCCACGTACGATAAATTCATTTTTATCATTGTGTGTAAGTGGTTCAAAAATCACATTTGCCTTTCACGGGGCATTGCTCTTCATTCACAGGAGACAATATTTCAATGATGCCGTTGTATTTCCCTTTAATGTGCACTTTCCAATCGTCTTCACGCCGCAGGCAAAGGTGGATATAATAAAAATACACCCTTAAAATACTTTACTCAGAACCAAATCCTGTCAAGTTCCATGAAAGTTAGGTTCTATGTTTTCTTACAGAAATAGGTCAGTTTGGAGGAAAACGTGTTTAGTGCAACTGCTTTGTCCAGTAGAACGGGAAGCAGCACGAATCCCGAGTTGTCCCATAAAGGGCCTACCCACTACGAAGTGCGTTGCTGGGGGTTTCTTGGCTGAGTGAGCAGCATGCAGGGGCCCACCCGACCCCGCAAGGTCCAGCTAACTGCACACCCCGCCGTACAGCGCGCAACCACTGGTCCTGGGCTACAGTCTGCGCACATGTTACTCGCAGTTCCGTAGGCAGCTGTAGCCCAATAGTCTGTGTGTGTACACACAGCTGAGCATAGAAAGGTACAGCGGAAAGACCAGACAATGGAACTGTCTAGTTCCATGTATGTGACTCACTGTTGACCAAAATATAGTCATGGTATAGAAGAAAGTGCTGCTTCCCTTTCTACTGAACAAAACAGTATCATTAAACACTTTTTCCTCCAAACTGACCTAATTCTGTAAGAAAACGTAGTATCTAACTTCAATGTAACTTGGTAGGATTTGGTTTTGAGTCAAATATTCTAAAGGTATATTTTTATTACACCCACATTTGCCATATTGATATGTGGATAAAATAGAATTATAGAGTGGAATTGCTAATCAAAATAAAAGTGTTTTAGCTAATATTTCAAAGTTTATGGGGAAGCTTTTTTTGGGGGGGTGGGGGGTTCCGGTCATGGGGCCTGAACTCTGGGCCTGGGCGCTGTCCCTCAGCTCATCAGCTCAAGGCTAGCACTCTACCACTTGAGCCACAGCACCACTTCCAGCTTTTTTCTTTTTGCTTATGTGGTGCTGAGGAATCAAACCCAGGGCCTCATGCATGCAAGGCAAGCTCTCTACCACTGGGCCACCTTCCCAGCCCCTGAGGAAGCATTTTAAACTATGTAATAATCTAAATTACTGGCTAAAATTTCTAAGTGCAGAAGTGCTTGGAGAGCAAAATAAGGAGTATTAAAATTTAGAAAGAACTTATAGCATATGAATTTTTGTACAAAGTCATTTAATATTCATTAAAAAATCTAAAACCAAAAATAATTTGGAAGAGTATTTCTTTACCTCATTATGTATGTATAAAAAGTTAACAAGATGACTCCCCGGCCCACTATTTCCTCTTTTGGTTTTAAATATTTTAGAACCAAACTGAATCTCATTGTTGTTCTTAATGGGATCACATATAATTTTCTGGCATCAGTAACATGACGCTATTTTATATCCCTTAGCCAAAGCTGTGTTGAGAATTAGGGGATATTCACAAAATACAAATGCCGCAGAATAGTTGAATGCTAGGCCTGGAATGAGGACCCGGCCTTGTTCTCCATTTACCTAGGTCACCCTGGACATCATTTTGGAAGTGTTCCCTTCTACAAATGAAGACACACCTCTCTTGTCAGAATGGCAGGCACTACCCCAAAGCCATTGACAGGAGCTATTCCAAATTGTCCTGAAGTTCTGCTTATACAGCAATGTACTTTCTAGAAAACAGAAACCATATCACCAAACTTTACCATCAAAGTTCATCTAAGTGATTAATATTAATACGGGGAAGAAAATACAATGTCTGAAATGATTACATCTCCAAACTTGAGTATTATCTATTTAAAAAGTGTTTTTTTTGTTTGTTTTTCTGAAGTATTAGGTGTTATCCCAGCCTTCACCTTGGGAAGTTTCTCAGCCCAGTTTGGAAAGATATTTTGTATGGATTCTGACATGTATGTGTTTCTGGGAAAAGCTAGGGGGAAAACAATCAAAGAAAAAGGGCAGAGGAGAAACCTGAAGTAGATGATATAAAGCATCTTGTTTTCCCCAATTTCACCAGGAAAAAGACCACAGGGTCTATGTAAAAGGATTTCCCACAAGCCAACTGTTTCCAGAAGCTATGGAAGTCTTGGTACAAAATGGCAACGGGCTTTTTCTGATGAGGACACATGATTGAAGATCTCAGTCTTTACATTGTCTCAACTTAAAAATTACACTGCAGGGAACTTTCTAGCTTTCAGCTGCCAAACAACAATGTGTTCATTGTTCTCTCTGCTCTGAAAGATTCCTGGGCGGAAGCTAACAAAATCCAGGGTAACTGTGAAGTCATTTCATGGTGCTTAACCATGAGTTCTAGGTATTGGAATGCAGGTAAAGAACTCTGGTCCAGGATGACTGAAGGGAATTTTGCTAAGGGCAAAATGAGTCATATCTTCTACCACTGAGCCCCAGTTATAATTTTTTGAAATAATCTTGTAGTTTTTTTATAAAGACTCTAGAGAACTCTAAAATTAACCAAATAATAATATTTCTCTTAGAAGCAGAATGCTTCATCTGATTACAAGAAACTATGTATCCCTAAACTCTTTAAGAAAAAAAAAAATCTATGAGCATAATTGACTTTCTTGTGATCAGACAGTTTTCTCTTAGTTTGTTTTTAAGGTAATCAACTTATTAGGGAGTGTGCAAAATTTGAGGAGATTCCATTTATGTCTCCCAAATAAGAAATGCCTTACGTTGCAGCACTAGAGAATTTCCTGTTAAAATGGTAACCTTAAAAATGCTTCTGTGAGTGATTTTTAAGTGGGTATATATTTTGAATTTGTATTTATTAAGTGCAATTTCTATACAGTTGATGGCATATTCCTGCAGTTTGTAAAGAGAGGCAAATTACTTTCAATGTGCATTCATCAAGCAGAGTAGAAGAGAAAATAGTAAGGTATGGTGTGGGAATGATACCAAAAATATTATCTATATTTGTGTTCAGATCCCCGCTGTAACAGCTCTGGAAACGCTGGATCTGAGCTGTTTTTCACATGGTCATTGGACACGCCTGCTGGGATAAAAGATTCAACATGAGCCGGGCGCTGGTGGCTCACGCCTGTAATCCTAGCTACTCAGGAGGCTGAGATCTGAGGATCGCGGTTCAAAGCCAGCCCGGGCAGGAGAGACTGTGAGACTCCTATCTCCAATAAACCACCAGAAAACCGGAAGTGGCGCTGTAGCTCAAGTGGTAGAGCGCTCACCTTGAGCTGAAGAGCTGAGGGACAGCGCCCAGGCCCAGAGTTCAAGCCCCACGGCCGACCAAAAAAAAAAAAAAAGATTCAACATGGTGCTCCACTCCTTCCTTCCCCCCTCCCCACCCCCAACTTCCAACTCACTCCCTGCTCCCTGCCCCTGTTTCTCACTGCTTCAGGAAAGCTGGAGGGCGGCTTCGCTTTCAGGACTAGAAGAAGTTCTGGTCCATGCCATCTACCCTCACCTCAGCCCCAGTGTCTGCACCTTGGCTGGCTGCTTGTTACTGAGTCAAGCGGTCAACGCTGAATGTGACAGCGTGGTACAGACGACTTAGCGCCCTTACTCACTATGCAGTGATTTGGAGCACTCTCTGATTCGGTGCCTTCATCGGGGACCATGCTACCACAAAACACTGCTGCCTCTCAGGTGTCCACAAATAGAGCCCAACACGCAGGCAAGGTTGTCGAGCTCACGACCTGGTCAGCCAATGTAGACCACCTCTCCACGCGTGCTAGATTTTCTTCTTCCTCTTCCTTTCTCCATGCCACTTGTCATGGAACTTAAATAACAAGAAAAACTTGTGGTTATGGATATTTTAACTTAATGGTATACTCAACTGAATCTTACGTATTTTTAAAAGTAACAATATCCTGTCTTGGACAGCCAGCTAGAAGATGTTAAATAATAGATCTGCAGTGTTGTGAGCACTTTGCTTTTCTCTTGTGATCCACTGCTCCTTCGGTTCTGGCCTTTGTGCACAAAGCAAAGCAGCCAACTCTCTACGCTGAATGTAAAACTTTTCTTTCCTTACTCACGGGAGGGCAGGGGGCTGTTTATTATCTGAACACCATCATCAAACTAATCTAGAGAAAGACTTAAAAACCAACCAGGACCTAGAGCAATGGAAAAGCCAAGCCTAGATCTCAATTTCAGCCTAGGAAAAAATGACCATTTCCAACTTGAAACAAAATTTACTAAGACGCCTCAGCATGGCTCTGCTATTCAAATGCAAGCATGAGGCACAAGCAGCCTTTTCTTTAAAGTTTGTATTTTATTTTTTTGTATAGACAGGAGAAAAGACCCTCCTTACTTCAGATCAAGTAAGGAATGGCTGGCCGAGAGCAGAAGGCAGACTCGCTGGCCCCATTCTGGAACACATCAGATTCCAGATGGTTCTTAGAGGGCGAGCTGTAGGCATGCAGTGGCGGCACAGGAGGCCGAGAGCGCACGCGTGGCAGGCCCGGCCCCAGGGCGCACAGAGCCGCGTGGTTTCCGTGAGGCTCTTCTTGCTTGAGTTGTTCGGGGTTTCCCAGGAAAAACACAGACTCAAGAGGCCGAAGTCACTGGCAAGGGGCGCTCCGAACCCTCCACTTTCCTGGAAACACCACGAAGTGGGCAGGCTTTGTTCTCCTTTTCATAGAAAGGAGAGTGTCCAGAGCAAGGTCTCCATGTTCCACTTGGAGCAAGGGGACCGAGGGCATGGGGAGCCCTGGGGCTCTGCGGGTCCCCGGGCTGTGCGGGCCGGGGCTGTGCGCACTGTGCCCTCTGCGGGCGCAGGCCCCAGGCCCTCCACACCCGGCTTCCCGTCCCCAGGGCTGCGGGACCAGGCGGGATCTCACTTGTTCTTGGTGATGAGGTTCCCGAACCTGTGCATGAAGCCCCGCAGCTTGTTCTCGGGCGGCGGGTAGGTGGGGAAGGTGCCGGTGCCAGCGCCATAACCCAGCCCGGGGCTGGGCCTGCCGAAGCCGCTCCCCGCCGGGGTGGCCGCGCGCTCCGGGCGCAGCGCCTGGGCCCGCACGGCGCCCCCGGGAGCGGGCATGGCACCCTCCAGCTGGCAGAAGGGCTCGAAGCGGCTGTAGACGCGGCGCTGGGCCGAGTGGGAGCGCAGGAGCTCGCTCGGCCGGGGCCGGGGCGCGGGCGAGGCGGAGGGCGCCACGGCCGGCCGGGCGTCCCTGGCGTCCCGGTACTGGATCTGCTCGGTGTTGAAGCGCGGCGCCGAGGCGTCCCCGGGCCTCTCCAGCGGCGGCCGCTCGCCGGGGGCCGCGCGCACGTCCTCGCGGCTCCGGTGGACGCTGCCCGGGGAGGGCGAGGCGCGGGGCGGCCGCGCGGCCGGCGGGGAGGGCGCGTCCGGCCTGGGCTCGGACCTCCGGGGCGCCGGGTCCTCGCCGCCCTCGGAGGCCAGCGTGTCGGAGCTGCTGCAGAGCCGGTAGAAGGCGGGCGCCTTGCCCCTGGCCAGGCCGTCCTTCCGCTCGGGCGCCAGGCTGAGCAGCGAGCGCAGCTTCTGCGAGCCCTTCTTCAGGAAGCTGGGCGAGCCCCGGCCGTCCTTGCGGGGGCTCGGCGCCCCGCGCGCCTCCTCCTTGGCGTCCAGGAGGGCGGCGATGGAGACGGACTTGGTGGCCGGGGCGTGGCGGCCGGGCGCGGGCCTGGGTGCGGCCCCGGGCTCGCCGTCGGCGGCGGCCGGGCTCAGGGTGACGTCGAGCAGGCTGCGGGCGCCGGTGAGCGGCGGGGCGGCGGCGGCGGGCGCGGGCGCGGCGGGCCGGGCGCGGCTGCGGGTCAGCGTGCTGTAGGCGCCGCCGTGCCGGGGCTCCGCGCCCGCCCGCGCGTGCTCGAAGGACGGGAAGCTCCGCCGCTTCAGCAGCTGCGGGTCCAGCGGGGCGGTGGGGGGCGCGAGGGTGGCCGCGGGGATGGCGGTGAGGATGCGGGGGTTCGGCTCCGCGTGGCCGTTCACGCCGCGGTGATCAGGCGTGGCGGGCGTCGGGGGCGCCGGGGGGCGCGGCGGGCTCGTCCTCGGGCGGCACCTGGGGGGCGGTGGCGGCGGCGGCGGGGCTGTCGGGGGCCCGCCCCGGGGTGTCGCTGCCCTGGGAGCCGATGATGGTGGAGTTGGAGGAGCCGGTGGTGCAGCTGCTCACCTCCTTCTGCTCGGGCAGCGTGGGCTTGAAGACGAACGAGGCGCGCAGCCGCGAGTGCGCCTGGAGCGCGCCGGCCTTGCGGCCCGGGCCGTCGGCGGCCCCGTCCGGGGCGGGGGCGTCGCCGGGGTCGGGCGCGGCGTCGGCGCGGTCGTTGAGGTAGGACTCCAGCCGCCAGGTGCGCAGGAAGGACTTGGCGGTGCGCTCCAGCGTGGGCATGCGCAGCTGCAGCGCGCGCACGTGGCTGTCCGTGCCGTGGAACGACCTGCGCACGGGCGCGCGCCGCTCCGCCAGCGGGCCACCGGGCCTCCGGGCCGCGCCGTCCAGTAGGGTCAGGCTGGGCGCGTGGTGCTGGCCGCCGGCCCGGGACGACGCGGACGCCACGCTGAGCGCGTCCGAGGGCCGGCTCCAGGCGGGCGGCGCGGGCCCCGGCCGGGGCGGGAACCGGCCGGGCAGCAGGTACGGGGCCTGCTCCGACGGCTCCCCCGCGTAGCTGTGCCGCTTCCAGCCCTCGGGGACCGCGCCGGGCCGCAGCGCGCGCGCCGCCGCCAGGCCGGCGCCGTTCAGGGGCGGCGGGAAGTGCGGTCGGTACTCGTGGTTCCGCGGGCCGAACTTGTCCGGCTCGAAAGGGGCGCCGAGGCCCCGGTGCGGGAAGCACCCCGCGTCCAGGCGGCGAGCCGGGTCCCGCCCGCCGAGCGCGCTCCTCTGGCTGCAGACCGAGGCCAGGGAGGAGAGCGAGCGGTGGCCCAGCCCGTTCTCCCAGCGTGCCCGGCCCGGCCGCGGCCCGGCCGGCTCCAAGGCCGCCAGCGCGCCCGGCACGCAGGAGCGCGCGTACAGCGTGCGGAACTCCTCGTCGAAGGACTCCACCAGCTGGCCCGCGATGAGCTGCGCCATGCTCAGGTGCGCCTTCTCGAACGACCACATGTAGCTGCAGGGAGACAGATGGTGAGAGCTCGCAGGCTGGCCGGGAGGGCGGGGGGAGAGCGGCGGAGAGGGCGGCGGGGAGGGCGGGGGAGAGCGGCGGGGAGGGCGGCGGGGAGGGCGGGGGAGAGCTGCAGGGAGAGCGGCGGGAGGGCTGGGGAGAGCGGAGGGGAGAGCGGCGGGAGGGCTGGGGAGAGCGGCGGGGAGGGCTGGGGAGAGCGGCGGGAGGGCTGGGGAGAGCGGCGGGGAGGGCTGGGGAGAGCGGCGGGGAGGGCTGGGGAGAGCGGCGGGGAGGGCTGGGGAGAGCGGCGTGGAGGGCTGCGGGAGAGCTGCAGGGCGGGGAGGGCTGGGGAGAGCCGCGGGGAGGGCTGCGGGAGAGCCGCGGGGAGAGCCGCGGGGAGGGCTGCGGGAGAGCCGCGGGGAGAGCCGCGGGGAGGGCTGCGGGAGAGCCGCGGGGAGGGCTGCGGGAGAGCCGCGGGGAGAGCCGCGGGGAGGGCTGCGGGAGAGCCGCGGGGAGGGCTGCGGGAGAGCCGCAGGGAGAGCCGCGGGGAGGGCTGCGGGAGAGCTGCAGGGCGGGGAGAGCTGCGGGGAGAGCTGCAGGGCAGGGAGAGCTGCGGGGAGGGCTGCGGGGAAGGCTGCGGGAGAGCTGCGGGGAGAGCGGCGGGGAGGGCTGCGGGGAGGGCTGCGGGAGAGCTGCGGGGAGAGCTGCAGGGCGGAGAGAGCTGCGGGGAGGGCTGCGGGGAAGGCTGCGGGAGAGCTGCTGGGAGAGCTGCGGGGAGGGCTGTGGGAGAGCTGCGGGGAGGGCTGCGGGAGAGCTGCGGGGAGAGCTGCAGGGCGGGGAGAGCTGCGGGGAGGGCTGCGGGGAAGGCTGCGGGAGAGCTGCGGGGAGAGCGGCGGGAAGGGCTGCGGGGAGGGCTGCGGGAGAGCTGCGGGGAGGGCTGCGGGGAAGGCTGCGGGAGAGCTGCGGGGAGAGCGGCGGGGAGGGCTGCGGGAGAGCTGCGGGGAGGGCTGCGGGAGAGCTGCCGGAGAGCTGCAGGGCGGGGAGAGAGGTGTATGTACACATACTATTACTTATGTATATAGAACATACATACACATATGTAAAAGCAAACACAAAAGCGAAAACTCGAGTTCTGGACTTAAATCTGTTCACGATTTCCCCCACTAGTTTCCAGAAACCCAAAGAAAGTCTTCTGCCTTTTGTTCCTGCTCCTAACAAGACTGTACAGGGTGGAACACAGCATGATGGGGGCGCTGGGAGGAGCCCTGCGGGTCCGGTCCCCGCAGCCCGGCGTCCGGAGGACGCGGGAGTTACAGCGACCCACGCGCCCCTCTGGGGCTCACGTGGCTAAGGCAGCCCCGGACGGGGGTCGCGCGGCTCCGAAGGTCCCCAGCCTTCCGACACGGACCCCGGGGCTCGCCCAGCCGGTGCAGTGCGGATGGCAGGCCAGCAGTCCTGGGGCTCATGTGGGCCTCACGGGACTCGTGTGCACAGGAGTCGTGTGCCCGGGATTGCACTATGGCTCCCCTGGCCTAGACGTTACCGGTGCCACCGAGGAGCCTTCACCATGCATAACTCAACTTCTAGAAAACAAAAAACTGGTGGTGACACCGCAGCCTGCTGGGGTCTGTCCGTGCCTTTCCTGCAGGGGAGGAGTGGCTGCTGTCCTGAATCATCATAGCAAAACTTTAAATCTGACTTTTGGGTGTATATATGATATATTTTTTAAAAAAGAAAATCCCTGAGCTGGAAAATAATACATTGCTAAGTAAGCTTAGCAAATGGGTTTAATGCAAAAGGACAAAGAGACAAGAGGAAGGAGACAATCAAAGGATTGTACAAGGCATACAGGGAAAACAAATACAATTTTTTACTGTGCAAAGTAACAATTTACACAAAATTTATATAGAGCCGACACATATAGAATGTTCCATGAAAGCAGAATATACACCTTTCTCACCTGGACAAAGAACTGTCCAGGACAGATCATAGTTAAGTCAACATGGAGTCTGAATGGAAGGGAAGGCTGGAATTCTGCTTACAATGGAATAAAGCTAGAAATCAATAGCACAGGAGGAAGTGGGAGATTTACATGGTTTTTTTAAAAAATTAAGTAATAAAATGTGAAAGCCCAGTGGATCATAGAAAACCCAGGGAGACAGGAAAAACAGAAATGTGTCCAGCTACAGTTCATGGAGTGCCACCAGAGGCCAGCCAAGCAGCCATCCCCATTATCATTTTCTTTTTAAAGTAGAGCATACTTGAGAGATGGGGGGAATGGTGAAAGGGAGGACGCTGATCAGAATGCATTGTGCTCACAAACTGACATGTTGACTTGAAAGATAATAACAAAATAAATTAACTTGAAAATGTACTCGAGCTAATTTTGGAAACAAGGAGAGACACAGAAAATAAAACAAGGGGGCTGGGAAGGTGGCTCAGTGGTAAAGTGCTTGCCTTGCATGCCTGAGGCCCTGGGTTCGATTCCTCAGCACCACATAAGCAAAAAACGAAAAAAGTCAGAAGAGGCGCTGTGGCTCAAGTGGTAGAGCACTAGCCTTGAGCTGAAGGACAGCACCCAGGCCCAGAGTTCAGGTCCCCCTCCCCCCCAAAAAAGAAAAGAAAACAAGGAAAGATTGTAGATCAATTGGATCTAAAATTAGGTGCTATAGTTTGAGACTTTAATCCTAGCTCCCCATGAGGCTGAGATCTGAGGATCATGGTTGAAAGCCAGCTGGGCCAGGAGAATCCATGAGACAGTCATCTCCAATTAATCAGCAAAAATCCAGAAGCAGATCCTTGGCTCACGCGGTAGAGCACCACCTTTGAGCAAACACTAAGGGTGAGAGCCTAGACCTTGTGTGCATTCAAGCCCCAGTACTGATGTACACATGTGCACACACGGACAAAGATTTAAGTGATCACTGATTAAACCACTCAGGAAAATGGGATACAAGCTTTGCTCCTGGTGCAAGTCCTGCTGGTGCAGACTGTACACCTCAGATGATTTGTCAGCAAATGAGCTTAAAATAGAAATAGATAAAAAGAAAAAAATTGGTAATGACAAAAGCAAAAATAAAATGGCTATTAGATTTTATAAAAAATATCATTGTGCGCTGATGGTTCACATGTATAATCGTAGCTACTCAGGGGTCTGAGATGTGAGGATTGTGATTTTCAGCAGACACGGCAGACTCATCTGAGAGACTCATCTCCAATTGACCAGCAAAAAGCAGAACCGGAGGAGCAGCTCAAGTGGTAGAGCAGCAACTGTGCGTGGAGAAAGCTGGAGAAGAACACGAGGCCTGGGTCTGTGCCCGGTATTAGACACACACGCCAACGACACACACCACATCCTACAGCACATCAGAAATAACTCCAGTGTTCACACTTCCAAAAACACAACCCTGGATTTTTCATTGTACAAAAATCTGTTATAAATTTATATCAGGACAAAAAAGGACAGTAGATATTGATAAGAGCGTTACCGACTTCTTCAGTTACCACACTGAAAAGCCAGGGACAGCAGCCAAAATCGATGCGTTGAGAAAGAACAGTATGATCACGTTATTTAACAGAATGCGAGGTATTTCAGAAGAACCAGCCAAAAGAATTGAATCATTGCATCCAGAAGTCAGGACCAAGGGTGACTGCTATTTCAGACTGTGTTACTGTTTAAATTTCGAGCCATGTGTGTATATTTACTTGTATTAAAAAACATTCATTCCCAAATGCAAACTTATGTATTAGTCATGAAGTTGGAAAGCTGGAAAGCCAGGGCTCATGAAATCTCCAAAAGAGTGGTTCAGAAACTTCCGGATTCCTTTCAGGAGGTTAAAATTCAAGCACAAAGGCTGTATGTAATTACCGTCTAGGGGTTGTAGCATGAATCTCAAATATGATTACCTCCTTGTCTGATCAGATATGGCTCCTGAGAGGCAGTAACTTAAGTGCAGCTCTTTAAAACATAAGATTTTAAAAAAAAATCAGATGTCTATAAAAATTTCCTCCTCAGTTCAATTTGTACAAAATGCTTTATTTGCAGTCTTCTAGATTTTCATATGATAATGTGAGATGGGGTTATCAAATGGGCATTATTCATATACGCTGACTGAGAAGCCTGAGCTTCATCTGCGGGGGTTGAAAGCCATCACCATGTGCCCTTTCACATGGCGCAGACGAAATAAAATGATGAGAATTTAGAATCTAATCATGTCCCTGTCAGAAGATGTGAGTGGAAAAGGGTATTTACCTGCGGCCCGAGGGCGCACAGGGGTAGAAGGAAAGCCATGAGCCCAGCTTGAACTCTGCGGCTAGTTCAAGGCCAGCTGGAGTCACACAGCAAGACTCAAACCAACCAGCCCAGCGGCAGTGGGCATCGCTCGGGGCAGAGCTATGCCTGCCTGTGCCGGGCCCTGGGTCAAACCCCAGTGACAGATAGCATTTTTTAATAAAGTCAGCTTTCCCGTGTGGTAAACAGTGGAAATCCTAAAGTATGAAGGACGATGGCTGTTTGTGACCAAAAGGAAATTCAGCCTCCATCATAGTTATCAGAAGGATCTCACACACAACCCTGGCAGTCCTGGGCCACAATCCACCTATTTAGCTAGGATGGCAGGGCCCTGTCACCGTGACACCATGGCCCTGTCACCGTGGCCAGCTCCTTCCTGATGAAGATCTAGCGCTCATGCCTGGGCTGGCACAGAAACCCGATCCTCCCAATCCCAGCCTCTCGGGTGGCCAGGATGTGTGATGCCCCAGGGCCCAGCAGGTAATGGGAGTGGTGAGCTGATAGACTCGGAGTGCAGGGACATCCCATGTGTTTCCGAGGACATAGACATGTTTGTTAGTGTTGTCCTTGGCGTGTTACTGCCGCTGCTTGTAACCCAAAGTCATTGAGCTGCCTTCACCACACTTGGCCCCTGTAAAATACCAAGGGGTGCCAAAACAAAGTGGAAGTCCATTCACTATGGAAAGGAATGGTACAAGTCTAGCTAAACAATAAAACAGAAAGCTTCCTTCAATTAAGCTCAGCTTAAATAAGGAACATCTTTTTTATAAGTCAAATAAATGCTCCATTTAATTAAACTTTCCTTTAAAAGCCCTTTACACTAAGCGTGTCTGAACAAACATATACACACAAATGAGACTTTTAAAAAGACTCATTAATTCCAAGCAGTAGTTGTAATTTCTGCTCTTAATGAGTTTCATTCGACATGCCAAACAGTACTTAGCAAAAAGAATAAAAACTTCCGGAATGTAAAGGGAATGTTAGCAGAAAATAACAACTAAAGAAAGACACAAAGTTCCAACAAAATGAACAGCAGGAAGCGGGTACTCAGCAGGGGTGGGGTGGGGCGGGGTGGAGTCCTCGGCTCATCTGCACAATCTGACTGCAGATTCATTCACAGCTGAGGTCAGGGATTTATGAAAGACCACCGGGCAGGCTGCATCCTGCACTGCCTCCACCACCGGGAAGCAAGTGCTGGTTTGATCAGGTTGTGACTAATCTTTTAAGAAGGAGGCTTCAGCAGACAGGCTCTTCAAAGCATTAAATGCACAGTTTCTGTTTTTATGGGTAATTGTTTTAAAGTCCACCCTGTGTAGGGTTTTTGTAGGAGACAAACCACACTTAGGATTAGCGGGTCGTGGAGAGCCTTCACCATTAGCCACGCCCTCACCTTTAGGATGAGGAAGCAGAGGCTACATAACTGATGTGCTTTACTTCTGGTCCAGAGATTTGTCTAAGGACCATAAAGACTTTCTTCAGAAGTAGACTCATAACTAACACCCAGGAATCTAGTGCCTCTCTGTCTGTCTGTGTCTCCCTATCTTTGTCTCTCTCCTTCTCCTTTTCCTTGTCCTGGGGACTGTCTCTGAGCTGTTTTGCTCAAGGCTCTACCACTTTGAGCCACAGTACCACTTCCATTTTTTAGTGGTTAATTAGAGGTAAGAGGGGCTGGGAAGGTGGCTCAGTGGTAGAGTGCTTGCCTTGCATGCATGAGGCCCTGGGTTCGATTCCTCAGCACCACATAAGCAAAAAACAAAAAAGTCAGAAGTGGCGCTGTGGCTCAAGTGGTAGAGCGCTAGCCTTGAGCTGAAGAGCTGAGGGATAGCACCCAGGCCCAGAGTTCAGGCCCCATGACTGGACCCCCCCAAAAGAAATTAGAGGTAAGAATCTCATGAATTTCCTGCTCAGGCTGGCTTTGAACCTCAATTCTCAGATCTCAGCCTCCTGACTAAACCAGGACTACAGGCGTGAGGCACCAGCACCCCACTTTCCTTTCTCATTTTTAAGACACGACTCAACCAATTTTATTAAAATTTTTACATGAACAAAAAAGTCAGCTAAATGATTGACAATCCTAGAAACAAACCCAGTGCTCTTACCTGTAAGAACCATACATCACTTTCTGGCAGTCAACCAACAGAAATTTCTGCTCCAGTTTTCCATGGAATTTTGCCCCAGTTTTTGAAAGGTAATCTTGGCCTTTTACTGTCCGCACTCGAATATTCTAAAATTTTATGTAAATATAAAATTAATAAAATTATGTCTGGAAGGGAGATAATTTCTCCTAATTCAAATAGTCGAGAAAAATAACCACTTGCAAAACACACTTTAATGCAGCTTAAAGAGGGGATCTTTACATTGAGCCACGTGGGCTCCTAATCCACTTAGGATCCCGCCACGCGAGGTTCTTGAGGAACACATTGGCCTGGTGACTGAGTTGATAAACCTGTCTTCCCTCCACCAGCCAAACGTCACTGGGACACTTGGCCAGATGATTCTGACAAAGCAGGGCACAGAATCACAGTGCCTTGTCACACGGTTCCGGGTCATCTGTGCAAAGCTGGGGCGCTTCATTGGCCTGGCAGGCAAGTCTCCTCAGAAAGGCACAGCCAGTCCGGGAGGATGCAGCCCAACCATGGCGTTCTCAAAAGCCCTGGCTGGAGGCCTGCCACGGCCTGGGGCTATCTGAACATGACTTACACTTGGCTCAGACGAAAATGGCACCGAGAAGCACTTGAGACCATAGGGAATTCTTACCCGGAGACGTTGAATCTGGCAGCCCTGCCGCTCGGTCATCTTTAGAAAATGACAGAAGTTGGACTCGTCGAGCAAAATGTACACGGATATGCCTCGCGTGGACGCCTCCACTATTTCTTTGAAAATGTCCACGTCTGTGAAGATGTCCATCACTAAAGCAATGACCTGTTAGAAGATGAAAATGTGGAACAGTTTTAGCTCAGTGGCTTCGGATTGGAGACGATGGAGTACAATGTGTGGTGGTGGAGGAACGTGCCGGACGCGGTCCTCACCCTGGCCGAGATGCGGCAGAGGAGACGGGCAGGCAGGCGAGCAGGAGCTGCGTATAAGGCAGAGGGGGGTGAAATGACTGGCCACAGAGAAAGGAGGCTAAAAACATGCCAGACAATAAATGGGGTGAAAATCAGTGAATTACTGGTGGTCATTCTAGGGTCACTGAAAAGTGAGAGACAAGCGAATTGTAAATACCCAAGGTTTAACATGCACCTTAATGCATTGACATCACACCACACGCATTTACTGATAAAAATGTTTCACCTTATGTTTACCCACATTAGGAGATGAAGACAGATTGGACGTGAATTGATCATTGCTGAAGCTGGCTGACTGTTCACAGGGCTTCTATGTACTCTATACATTCTGTACTTGTGAAACTTTCCATCATATAAAACTAAAAAAAAAAAAAAACCTAAGGGACAAAATATTTGGCACTAGCAACTGTCAGATGCAGTACACAGCAAATCAAAGCAGAGGCAGCAAGCAGATGGGGCTGTGCATTCAGTCAGGGGGAATCTGCGTGTCCTGGCACACTTTATAGGACATGACTGGAAGTCCATGGCCAAGCTAAACTAAAAGTTCATGAGGAGGACAGACAAAGAACCAGTCTTTTGGAAGATCTCTTCCATTAACTTAAATTTCATGGAACTGAGACTGGAAACAGAAACAAAGACATAGAAACAAAGCCCAAAATGTCAACAAATGGGAGAAGGGAACAGGCCCATGGCAAAACCTCAGGACATGTGAGGGTTGAATGAGAAAAAGATCCAGTCATGGATCAAACATCATAACTGTGTATCTACCCTAACCCAATGTTTAAAAAAGCACCAGAGCAGATCCAAATCACTTCCGCTGATGACATTCTTCTAACTAGCCGTGAGCCATATTTCAACCAAACTACAGAAAAGAACAATTTGTCATTCTAGTGGTATCTCTTATTCCTATATTCCACAGGATTTGGCAGGAGGTTCTAGAAGAAGAGAGCCCAGTGCCTTGATAATCATCTTCAAAGATCAAATATGTGAATTATTTGAATCATGTCTCCAATTAATTAGACATTTATTCTGCACTCATGAATGGTATAATGAAGATGACAATTGAGATAAATTCATTAGTTTATGAAATTCATAAAATAAAATGTATTGATAATTTTATTTATAAGTGTGACTTTAAAATACATATTGGGCATAGTCTGGTGCTAATTTTTTTTACTAGAAAGAATTTTTAAGTAAAGAAACATTATTGTGCAAAATGATATTCTTTAACCAATCTAAGACTCCACTTCTAGATTACCAAGTAATATCGGGGAACAAACTATTTTAGCCTCTGGAAATGAACAAAGCACATTATACAGATAAGTCCAGGTTTTGTTTGCAAAGAGTCACTGAAGTTGCTCAGCCAGTGGCTGGGGCTGCCACCGCAAACGTGGAACCGATGGCAGGGGCGACACCCTGGATCAAGACCCGGGAGACCAGACAATACATTTCTAACACCCTGATGTCATGTCAACCAAGTCAGGCTGCTCTGGAGGCCAATGCTCTCTGGAAGTTGACCTAGTATGTGGAAAGTTCTAGAACATCCATAGCAGGTTTCAGCTGTGCTACAACAGACAGGAGCAAGTGAGGCAGCTCTTTTTCTTTTAATGGTGCATTTATCTTGTGGATAGAAACAAGGAACACCAAGCCTGACCTGAAGCTACCACAGGTCCAGTTAGTAAAATCACCCTGTGGTGTAGAGGGGACCCTATCACTACAGATGAGAAACTGTCTTTAGCTGGTTTGAATAAGGCTTTTTTAAGGGCACGCTGAAAGATCATGAAGTGATAGTCACTAAACTGCCACAGCTCCCATAGTTGACTTAAATTCTCCTCTTGTTTCTGTGTTTATTATTATTTTACCATCACAATTGTATAAATCAACAAACAAATGCATCTGTCATAAACATTACATGAAGAAAACAGGAAGACATCAGAATCATTTATAAAATTCAAAAGAAATCTTATGGTGTCTGGTTTTGAAGGTTGCTGGTTTTCACTTAACTTTTTCATGCCACAGAAAATTCTTCCTGAGGCAGCCAGACACGGGTGCTCACATGGTACTGAAAACTACCAGTGTGGCCAGCCAGTCAATACAGATAGGTTCATGGGCATAGCATGAGTTAAGGCCATTCAAGAAAGGGCCTGATGAACTGTCAAGCAACTCAGTGTCACAGCAACTCAGAGAACCAAAAGTCAGTCTGTACGTGCGTGCGTGGATGTTAGGGGTGGGTAGAGAAAGGTGACGTGGATGGCAGGATAAGCCGTTAATAGTAAGTAAAGATGGTTTTGGTTTTTTAAATTTTGTTTTAGCTATTGAATCTGGAAAATATGCATCACAAAGGTATGCAGGTAGAATGAAGATGACAGCAATAGTTTCACAGATGCTTCCTCAGTGAGAGTCAGACGCAAAGCAGGGAGACCACGTCCCAGCACAGAATGGAGCCCGCCGGACATTTTGAAAAGACAGTATCTGTAGCGTACGGGGGAATGGATACGATGACAGATATGCAGAAATCACCTGCCTTCTGAGGCATCATTTAACAAGAAGAGGAGCAGCCTTCTGGACAAGTTTTAAGGTGACGTTTATGTGTGAAGTGCACGGCAATCCCCACACAAGTGTAGCAGACATGAGCGACAAAGGCGCAGAATAGAAACTTGAGGGCAGCACTCAGCACGGTGCGAATGCAGATCACTGGCATTTGCTCAGAACTGCACTTCAGTGTCTTGGGTGCTCTATGCCCGAGTCTTGTGTTATTTCCCCTTTGTCATCTATTAGGTACAAATCTACTCGCTTTGGTCTGCCTGGGATGCTCAATGAAGTGGCAGTGAGCCCGGAGTCGACATTCTACAGAATGGAGCGCTACACCTTTCATGCTTCATTTGAAGGGACCCAGACGGCCTTGGCCAGTGTCTGAATAGAGACATGAGGATTCAGTTTTTTTCCAACAACAACAAAAAAACAAACAAACAAAAAAACAAGTAGGGAGCTCAAATTAAAAAAAAAAGCACTATAATAACTGTATTTATAATAATACTGAATGCAACCAGAAAACATTTAAGAATTGAGTAACAGAAATAAATCAAGGGAAATGATCGCTGTATTTCCAAGTCTGTAAAACCCTGTCAAAAATAATGTGCCAAATGGACTCAGGGGCTGATCTGAAGAATAACTGCCTTTGGCCTTCGTTCAGACTAAGTAAGAAACAACAGCTATAATGATCTGTCAGCCAGCTTGGCCTGCCCTCGGTGAAGTGATCAGGGAAAGTCAGAGGAAATAAATCAATTAAGCAAGAAGAGACCTCATAGGTACCAGGTTCTAAAACTCCACCTCACTCTTGATGATGATGGCTGAATTGACCTGAGTGAGGGAATCTCAAGCTTGATCATATCAGCATACCAGGAAGCTCCACTTTCAAATAGTAAAATATGAGAACTGTGTCCCCTTACGCATCTTAGTATCTAATTATTCAAAACTGATTTATATATTAAAACTAAGACCTACTTCCTCTAATCTAAATTCTCTAGGCTATGAAAAGAACTAGATTACATTGTTCTCTAATAACTGGGCTACCAAGTATATCACACATGGCTTAGAAAAAATTAAATAAGCCGGTTGCCAGCAGCTCACACCTGTGATCCTTGCTACTCAGGAGGCTGAGATCTGAGGATCTCAGTTTAAAGCCAGTCTGTCCAGGCAGGAACGTCCATGAGACTCTTATCTCCAACAAACTACTAAAACAAAACCAGAAGTAGCACTGTAGCTCAAGTGGTAGAGAACTCACCCTGAGCAAAAGAAGCTCAAGCACCGTGCCCAGGCCCTGAATTCAAGCCCCAGGCCCAGCTAAACAGAAAATTTTAAATAAAAAAGTAAATGCACAATTTAAGGAAAACTCAATAGAAGATGTGAACTGGACCGTCAGCCCTGTGTGCTGGCCGTACCATGAATTTGTGGGTCTGCTGTGTGTTTGTGGCATGCGGAGAGACTTGAAGGAACGATTCCCACCTTCACAGGGAGCCCGTCCCAAACTGCTGAATCAGCACACAGTACAGCCGCGTTCGCCTTTGACCAAGTAAAGCAAACTTTTACACTCATTCTGCAGTTAGGCATCTTTGCTTTTGGAAAACAGCCTTCATACAAAGGGAGGCATGGACATGGAATTAGGGAAGATGGAAAGCAGAGGAAGCGGCCACAATGGAACTGCAAAGACCAGCCCGGGCCTCCTCCCTGCTTCAACACTTCATTCTTGGGAGTTCTCATTTCTCCATTTCTTTCACCCAAACTGACTTCCCTTGAACTTTGGCTTGGTAAGTGTCCCTAGCATGGGTTCCAAAAACCATGTCAGAGGGTCAAGACAGAGTGAGTGTCAGGGGTGTAGACAGAGTGAGAATCAGGTGTAGACAGAGTGAGCGTCAGGTGTAGACAGAGTGGGCGTCAGGTGTAGACAGAGTGGGCGTCAGGTGTAGACAGAGTGAGCGTCAGGGGTGTAGACAGAGTGAGCGTCAGGTGTAGACAGAGTGAGCGTCAGGTGTAGACAGAGTGAGCGTCAGGGGTGTAGACAGAGTGAGCGTCAGGGGTGTAGACAAAGTGGGCGTCAGGTGTAGACAGAGTGGGCGTCAGGTGTAGACAGAGTGGGCGTCAGGTGTAGACAGAGTGAGCGTCAGGTGTAGACAGAGTGAGCGTCAGGTGTAGACAGAGTGGGCGTCAGGTGTAGACAGAGTGAGCGTCAGGTGTAGACAGAGTGAGCGTCAGGGGTGTAGACAGAGTGAGCGTCAGGTGTAGAGAGTGAGCGTCAGGGGTGTAGACAGAGTGGGCGTCAGGTGTAGACAGAGTGGGCGTCAGGTGTAGACAGAG